TTGGCTCTCTCGACTTTCTGTGACCCGCTGTTTACAGAAATGTACAAAAGAGAAAATAAGAAAGAATGGAATGGTAGAGGTACAAAATGCCTGTAGCATTTCCTGCATGAAAAAGTAGGCAAAAAATTAATGAAGTTGCTTTGTTTTATCTATTGGGTTAACCTTGGATGAGTGAAGAGAGTTTTATCCATATGTGCTCACAAAGAATGTGGTCTAGAAAAGTTTATCTATGTGGGAAAGCTGGTTAGGAAGAGGTGTGCTATAAAAGTTTCCCGGACTCAGGACATCTTCCCTCCAGCAATGGTGTCACATGGGCAGTAAGGTAGCCATGTCAGCCAATGGAAGTGGCTTTAGGTCACAACATATCTAACACTGAGGATACATTGTGTTGTAGCCATAACCTACAAAGATAACTTAAAGGTGCTGTTAAAAGTTTCTAGTGGGGATTTTAGAAAAACTTGACTCCTCTTCAATATCTAAGCCATGTATGGTGGTCAGTTGGTCTGTGACTGGGGACATGGGAGAGTCAAGGGGAGGGGACTCCGAGAAGGAGCTCAGGACTGGACTATAATGGGGGATGAGGCTGAGGTGGGAGGCTCAAGGGCAATCAAAGCCAGCTAGGAGGGAGGCAGTAGATGGGGAGGAAGAGTGGATGACGGGAATGAGTGATATTAGGGTGGGAGGTCCCTAAGTGTTTGGAGGAGAGTGTTTTTCTCTCTTCTTTCAGGCCTTTCCTCTCTGTGCTACAAAACCCCCTCTCTGTAGCAAGGTACAGGACATGGCAAGAAGCAGAGGGAGAGGAAATGCATCCTTCAAGGATCAGGAAAGGCTCCCCTGGCTGACCACCTGGAAGTCAGTCCTAGCAGAGGGCTTTGACAGTGGTGCTGGCCCATTGCCTTCATCTCAGCATCTTCTTGGACTTTGTGAGTGCCATTTCTGCTGGGGCATCTGCTTCAAGCTGTAGCTGAGCTAATTTCCTCTGCCCGTTTCCCCAGCTTCTTTTCCTTCCCAAAGAATTTTCCTTGGATAAGAAGTCACCAGAGATCAAAGTGATCACAAGACCTTTTTCAGTCAAGTGAAGGACCAGGAGAGTCCTCAGGAGAAATGCATCCCAGGGGCTCAGTGAGTCTCTTCCTCCATCCCAGGATGGCAAATTAGCATCTCATAAGAGACCAACAGGAACAAACTTTCAGATCCATGAAGGACAGGAAGAGAACAGAGACTGGTACATTCTGTTTTCTTAGTGCCCCGCTATGATGTCACCCTTGGAAGAAAGGAAAGGGGCCTTTTCATCTTTCTAGCAGCATTGAATCTGGTCTGCACTGGTAAAATCTGGCTTTACCCATGAACATGGTCTTCCTCACCATCTAATTCATGAATCTTTCTTTCATAGGATCTTTCACCAGACATCATAGCCAGAAGTGATTTTTTGAGATCCTTGGTAATTTAAATCAGGTTGAAAACCTTTTCCAAAAGAAATATGACAACTAAATAAAATGCAAGAGCCTGGCTTGGATCATAAATAAGACGGAGCTAAAAAAGGCATGGCTGGAGGTGAAATTGATGCAACTTGAGTACAGATGGGGATTAGATAAACATTATAGCAACATTAGATTCCTCTTCCTCATCTTGATCACTGAATGATATTGTGGTTATAGGGGAAAATGCTTTTGACATTAAGAAATATACACAGAAATATTTAAAGAAGCATGTCTAGATACACACACACACAAACACACACACACACACACACACACACAACATAGATGGAAGATATGGGAGGGAGCAAAAGTCAGTAATAGGCAAGCCCTGCCTATTATGGAAAATTTTCTAGAAGTTTTAACTTTTACCAATTTTACCAATATAAAAGTTACCAAAACAAATAGAGAGACAGACAGATAAAAAGATAAATCTTTAACTTTCCCACTCATGACTGACAAAAAAGACCCTAATTGCAAGGAACACAGTATTAAACAAACTGTCAGGTTGACTTGTCAAGAAGTTCTCAGAAAGTTCTTGAATATGTTTTCTTTGAAAATGAAGTTTCAAGAGTGAAGTTTAGTCAAATCAATACAGCACTTGGCTTAAAATATTTCCAAAAAACATACAAAATGTCAAGAAAGTTGGCTCTTTCAAAAGCCCAGACATCACCAGTTCTGCTATGAGCTCACAAACACATCTCCAAAGTCCAGGGTGAAGTAGTGGGGTGTGGTTAGTGACTCAGAAAAATGTTATCTTGAACCAACAGTTTGATTCCCCTAAGCACTTGGATTTGTCCAGAATTCCTTCATGAACATGAACTCTATGAGCCCAGGGATGATGCAACCATTGCTGAATTTAAAGCCTCCATTCTTTCAACAGATCTAGGTCAACAAGGAATATTTTTTTTACTCCTTTCTAAATGATAGTATTAAACATAAATTTTTTTTATTTCTGAAGAAGTTTCTGTTTAACTTGGCTTAGGGCCCCCAATAGGAATTAGTTAATTTGACATCACTTCGTTAGGGAGGGGTAAGGAATATGCAGTTTGTAGTGTGTGTATTCACTGAAGGACCTAGTAAATTTTGTCACAAGTTGCTATTAAATTTGAAAATCCAAGATGTGAAAAAATAAGATGGGATATCTTTGTCCTTTTGCTTTTTAGTTTTTAAGCTTTAAACTTTATTATTATCTTATTTTTCTCTACTAAAGTTTTCCTTCTTGTTTACATAATAGGCATGGTTAAAAGAACTGTGCCATATCCTAGGGTTAGCTGATAGATGCTTAGCATTCCCTGGAAAATTAAGAGAGAATGGAGGTAGAATATAGACAGGAGCCTACTCCATCTGTCCTTCATTCTATCAAACACAGATTGCATCAATGTGGTGAGGAGAGGTAGAGAGTGAGAGGGGGTGAGGGATGGATGGGGAGGGGATGAGTGTGTGTGTATGAGTGTGTGTGTGTGTGTGTGTGTGCATGTGTGTGTGTAACTGAAAAATGGTTTGGAAGAAAGGAGGTCTTAGGGATAGACAAGGAGACTTGGAAGGACATAGCTAGAAAGTGTGCAAAGGATCAATCAGGAAGAATGTTTTTAGGTTCCCACATCGTTGCTGATAGGTTTCCTTCTCTCTTACACTTCCTGAAAAATCATAGCAAATCTCACTTAAGATTTCAAACCAGGATGTAACTCAACAAGATGGTGGAATTAACCTGTATTATCAGGGCAGATGGAAGGGTAAAACTCTTTCACAAATGGAAAGCTTTAAAATTTTAATTTTAAATCTAGTTAAGCTCAATTATGGGGAGAAATTGTAAGAGTACAATGTGAAGCAACAGAAATAGGTCAAATGAGAAAACTCTGAGCAATGTTAAAGAAATTTGTCTTTGCTTAACCATAAAAGAGACAGATAGATGGTAGTCCACCATCTGTGCACACAGCCTTACGTGACATCACCGATCACAGGCCTATGCTCTGACCTCAAGGTGACCACAATCTGGTCTTGTCATCACGTGGCAGTTCTTAAAATGAAAGAATGGGAATAAGGCAAAATCCTGTTCTGGCTCAGTCTTGAGGCAAGTGAGGAAGGAGAGAATGCACGTCGATGCTTGACACAAGTACTCCATTTGCACAGAGCTGGTGTACTGCTCAAACTCAACCTTCTTCTCTGGACTTCTGTATCATTAAACATTAGATACCAGTACTGCTGAAGAAAGGAGTGATCTGACCTATGAGAACACTGATTTGCTAGTGCCACATGACAGGCATATAAAATATTTATATTTTTCTGGGAAACTGTTAAGAAGTAAAAATATACTATTAAAACATTTTGTTTTTGAGACAGGGTCTCACTATGTAGGCTAGGCTGGCCTTGAACTTAGGAGTCCACCTCCTGAGCCCTTAGTGCTGGGATTGCAGTTGTGTGTCACCATGTCTGGTTCTAAAATTTTAATTTTTGAAGTAGTAAGACATAAATTGCCTTTGGTAAATGTTATTTTTCTTTAATCCATTACATATATATATATATATATATATATATATGGAGAGAGAGAGAGAGAGAGAGAGAGAGAGAGAGAGAGAGAGAGAGAGAGAGAGATGGGTGTGGTATGCATACCTGCAATCCCAAGAGGAATGTGAATTCAAGGCAAGTGTGGGTTACATAGGGGGACCACATCTCAAAAACCAATCTGTATTTATAGAAACTGACAGCATCAAATGGTGCAAAGATATGGAGCAATAGGAGCTCTCATTCATTGCTGGTGCAATGCAAAATGGTCTGGCCACTTTGGAAAACACTTAAGCATAGTCATGACTATGAGGTAAATTCATAACATCATGTCTTCCTAAAAGTCAGAGTCAAGGATGTAGTGTGTGTTGACTGATACTGAATATATGAACTGTTAAACACACACTCACACATATATGCACACATACACTAACAGACATACAAACACAGACACACATACAGCCACACAGATTCTCTCTGTCTCTCACACCCACACCCACAGAGTGAAATTCAGCAAGAGTTAATTCCCCAAACAAAAGCAAAGTCCTTCTTTACTGCTCAGAATTTGCAATGTGGCTTAATTTGTGTGCTTTTCCTCACCTGGTTAATAGTTACAAAAGACAGGTATTTATGGGCAGCAGGTATAGCAGGAGAGTAAGTAGAAGCATATACAGGTTCCTACAGAGCAAAGCAAGAGGGTTAGAGGTAAAAAGAGGAGATTTCCAGGAGGGGGATAGGGCAAGATTTGAAGGGAGAGACAAAAAAAATGAAACTTCCAATAGGAAGTTAATTTACTCATTGCAATTTCAGTTCACTTTTAAAGAGGGTCTGTCCTTGAATGCTGATGCTGAGCAGAATCCACACAAGTGCTGGGTATGTACCTGAGTCTGTTTTGTGTGAACCAAGTGAGTTAATGGGAAGATTACTGCCATTCGTATAAGATCTTCTATTACAGAGAGGGGAACCACATCTTTCACCAATGATTTTAACATTTAGCATAACATCTTCCACGAGGTATTTTCATTATGTGGATAAAAAAATAATTTCAGAACACAGGGGCAGCTCTCCATGCTGGATAAAGGCTGTATCTTGTGTAGGGATATACAAACCAAACAGGGAGGGCCCAGGGAAAACTGTCAGAATTAGCTGTGGCCACCATCTTGAGGAAGTGCCAGGTGCTATGCAGGTCCGATCACCTGTGCTTGAGGGAAGAGGAACAGCTGTCCATTTAAGTGACTATTAGTGCTGTGTTCCTTCAACTTATTTTTATCCAGAGAAATTTACAGGGAAACAGCCCTAGTCTGTGATTCCCTCTGACTCACTCTTAATACTTAATCCTCTGCTCAGAGGTATCCAGTCCACCCCCACCTTTTTTTTTTTTTAACGTAGGATGATATTGAACTGAGCATGCTCAGGAAATTGCCTACCTCTCCATGTGCTGAGGCATCTTTCCTATACAAATATATATATATGAGTTTCCCCAATAAAAGCCCCTTCCTTGCTTTCTTTGTCCACAGAGGCCCAACTCTGAGCATTGTCTTCAGTGCACTTCTTAATTTCTGTAAGTTAGTACTCTTGCTTTCCTCTTTTAATTTCTGCTTGTGCTTAAGAGCTTGGCACTCACCTAGGGGAGGACCCACTGTGGTCCATTACAAAAGAACACCTGTGTTAGAGTCAGGCTTACCCAAAGCAGATTAGACATGGCATTATCATCTGTAAATCCTCCTTCTTCCTACAGGTTAAAACAAACAGGAGACATTGCAGAGGATGGAACAGGAGAGTCTAGTTAGGGTCGCACCATCATTTTCAGGTTCCATTGGAAGCATGCACGTGCTTACAACCCAGTAGCATGAACCAAGTAAGCTCATTCCCTGAGGCAGGATGAGAGCCTTTAATGAGAGGCCATCCAGCAGCCTTACTCTCCCTCCCCACCTCCCTCTTTGGATTGACTTCATTCTCCTCTGTGGGGGTTTGGAATTTCCATGGCAGCAGTTACAATACAGACATGGAATTTGAATTTTCAGGAGCTTGTGTTGGAGATGCACAGATCCCTCATAAGGACTGAGCACAGGACATCCCATCCTCCTATAGGAGGCAGAAATAGATGCCAGTTTATACAAGCCAATTCTATAAAGTTTTTTTTTTACATATAGAAAAAGTCCTGGAAGAAGTCTGATATACTTGGATGATTATCCGAACAGTGACACAGGAGTCACTGTATGCTGTATTGTTGAATACACCAAAAGAGGGTTGAAATTTAAATAATTATTTGGTGAAAATAACTGCAATTAGGTCATAGCAAAGAGATTCCTGTCAAAGCAATTCTTTTTTTTTGGCAGTACTGGGGTTTGAACTCAGAGCCTTGTTCTTGCCTAGCAAGCACTCTACCACTTAAGTCACACCTCCAGCCCATTTTTTTCAGTTTATTTTTCAGATAAGGTTTTGTGTTTGTGCCTGGGCTAACCTTGGACTTTCATCCTCCTACTTATGCCCCTTGCATAGCTGGGATTACAGGTGTGAGGCACTACACTCAATCTACCAAGTTACTTCTTTAAGACTTTGTCTTGTCTCATTCTTTCTCTCTCTGATGGAATGAGTTACTCTCGAAGAAGATGGACACAAGTCATGCAAAAGTGCACACACTCCACACAGTGTGACCAGGCCAACTCTATGAATTGAATGGCTTTGTAATCCTTAGAACTAATTACATATGCTACAAGAAGCAAAGAGGTGCTTATGTCAGATTAGCCTGACTTAGAGTAGACCAACTATAGGAGAAAGATAAGAAGGGTGGGCAAGGGAGAGAGGAGGAGAAAGAAAGAGCCTAAATGATTTCACATAGGAAATAATAACCAGCTAGATAAATAATCAGAGTTTTTAAACTCCAAATTGTCAACCTTTGTTTTCCTGGAAGGCAAAAACTGCTTCTACCTAAGTTCCACACTTCATGAGACGTAACACAGAGGAACTCTTAGTTCTTCAAAAGCTGTTCATGGGCTGATATAGGACCCTATTACCACACGGGACCCCAAATGTGATGCCAGTGACAGTACCTCAATTTCTTCTCCTTTGAGACAACCCCTTTGACAAACAAAATGATTACCCATCTTCAAGGCATCCAGTTATATTCTTTTTTAATGTGGATATAGGTACATATAAATTCCCCGTAACATCATTAAAGGACAGTGCTGACCACTGTACGGCATGAATTCTCTCGGGAGCAACAGAGGTGACTTACAGAGCCCTCAGGCTATGTCCTTCCTCTTCAACATCCCACAGCTGCACACGGAAGGGGAAACAAGCTGTGAAATGGTCGGTGACCACAGATATGTGTTGTGAATGAATTCAGAACTGGGCAGTGAGTGATGACCTGATCATAAAAACAGCTTTCTTCTACCCTGGCTGGTAAAGAAGGAAGGTTCTGGAACCTGCTTTCCTGAGCAGTTTCTCCATGGGCAATTTTAGACCCACCCCACCAGCAAGCCCTACCTGCATATGTCTGTCATGAATGTCTTCTCTTCTCTAGGACAGCATTCGGACAGGCCAGTGGTCATTTCTCAAGCACTCCTAGGCTGGGTGGGGGTTGTTTCAAGACAGACCTTTCTTGCCATATCTAAGCACAGAGAGGTATGCCTGGGACACACTGCTGGCCCCCAGGAAGGAATAAACCAAGTGGTTAACAGAGGCCATCTGGAAAACACTTGAGTTCAATAGAACTTGAGATTTCCCAGTGTGAGAGACAAAAACCTAAAATAGATTGACTTATTTTAACCTCAAAGAGCTTATTGTCTTAACTCAAAGTGAACTAGGCCACTGAGGAGGAGTAGGGAGCGTGAGCTCCCTGTGGCTGCAGAACCAAGGAGATACATGAGTCCTGGACAGCATTTCGCACAAGGAAAGCTCAAGTTGTTCTTGGAGCCCCAGTGCTTGGACCACATCCCTGGATTTCCTACCCTAAGGCAAACGTCAAGGTAACCTGGCATCTCTTGTCTTTTAAAAACCTTAGCCATAATTCTAGGCAGGTCAGACTCAGCCTCCACCCCAGCCTTCCAGTGTTTATTGACTAAGGTGTTCTTTCATTCTTCTCAGTGGGTAGTCCACTTATGCCACGATCTGTGGGAATGCATCCCACTTTGTGCTTGTTAGCTTCATTTGAATTTTCACCTGGCTACAGGGACAGTCAGCTCCCGAAGTCTGGAGTCTGTGCATCTTTCAAAATGAGCAGCAAGACAGCTGGTGCTGGTTGGTGCCATCCCATATTAGGTGACAGTCTTGCTAATAAGATATGTGTTAAAAGTTACTTTTTTTTGGCTGGGGGCATGGCTCAAATGATAGAACATAACAAATGCAAGGCTCTGAGTTCAAACCACAATACCATTAAAACAACAAAAAAAGTTAGTTTTGAACCAGTGATTTCAAGAATCACTGTGCTGGGTATTGAATCGAGGGCCTTGCAACCTTATGTGTTGCTAGGCAACTGCACTACTACTGAGCTGCATCCTTGGTCCCAAGGTTCTTTTAAAGAAAGTTTGTGGGCCATGGGGATAAATTACTCAAGGGACTTCAATTTCCTTTTATGTTGAAATCTCAATTCCACATGTCTACTCTTAAAATATCTACTAACAGTTGAGAACGTTACAAATGGTTGAGAATTAAATGTATCGAGTTATTATCTTTTCACCATATGTGCCACAAACTAGAGAATTCAAATACTTTTTAGTAACCAGTTATACTTGAGGATTTACACATGGCCAAGAAATTAAATATCTTTAGTCATTAGCTTTAATACCATGTATATCTCCAAAAAAAAGAATTCAAATTGCCATTCCAATGTCACCTATGTAGACATAGAAGTACCACATAAAATATTGTCAGGACTCCTGACTTACCATTCTGTGAACACATCTCAGTTTTATGTAAGTTAATGTGTAAAGGTCACATTCATAATTTCTCTCTCCCATTTCATTTTTAAGACAGGCTCTCACTATGTTGCACAGGCTTGTCTTGAACTTCTGGGCCCAAGTGAGCCTCCCGCCTCAGCCTCCAGAGTAGCTGGAACTACAGACACATACCACCATATGTGTGGGCATCATATGGCTATTTTAGAACTAAAAGGGGCTGGGCACTGGTGGCTCACGTCTGTAATCCTAGCTACTCAGGAGATAAAGATAAGGAGTGGGATCACAGTTTGAAGCCAGCCTGGGTAAATAAGTTGTGAGACCCTATCTCAAAAAACACAAAAAACAAGATTGGTGGAGTGGCTCAAGTAGTAGAGTGCCTGCCCAGCAAGTGTGAGGCCCTGAGTTCAAATCCTAGTACCACCAAAAAACCAAAAAAACCCACAAAAAACAACCCAAAACTAAAAGGGGTCCAAGTGATCAAGTAATTGGAACATCTCTTTTTCCTTTTCCATTTGAAGACATTGAGTCTTAGAAATTGACTGGTGGGTGTGCCTCAGAGGCGTCATTTGGCTCCAGCCAGCAAGCACTTTTGCAATTGTATAGCCAGCCAGTAGTTTTGAAAACAGGTAGTAACTGGTCAAAGACTGGTCAGCATGACATTTGTAACTTAACAACTCATCAATACTCTTGCATCTGAGATGCCTGCGCCACATATGACTTAACTTTATTTAAACTCATACATATATTGCTGTACTTCCTTAACAAAAGGCGCATACCTCCTAAGCATGAAAATTATGCAGAAAGCACTCAGACCACAATTGTGTCCTGACTTTGTGTCTTAAATCTCTGCACAGGAAATTCAAGTCCATATTTTACATGCAACTTAGAGCTGTTAGTGGTGAGTTAAAGTTTCTCATTTGACAGGCTTTAATCAGACTTAGAGGCAGACTTCATTGAAGACGGGTTTCAGCTATGTGCTCATTTGGAAGCAGGCGCTTGCTTGCTGGGTATGGTGGGTGGGTGGCATTATGTGTAGTGCTGTGACAACTCTTCCACATCTCAAGACTTGATCTTGTGATCGATTTTAGCAGCTTTGTGACTGATTAAGTGAGAACTCTTTGGGCAAGAAAGTCCCAATGTTCTATGGAGTAGAACTGAGTTAAGCTACACATGCTTGCCCATGTGACACCTCGCAAGCGTGATGTTAGAAAGCTCTTTCCTAACATGGAAACCGTTACCTTCTTCTTAAGTGACTGTTCCATTTCTTGGATGTGCAGGCTGCTGGTAACAGATGCTTTGCCGTATTCCTGCTTCCGGTTAAGTCTGTTCTTCCAGTCTTCCTCGCCACTCTTCTTCAACAGTGCCAATCTAGATGGAAAATGTGCCAAAAAAGGAATTCAGCGTCAAACTCTGAGAACTTAGAAGAGTCCCTTCTTTTAAAGAGGGTTCCAAAGACTTTACAGCAGTTGATTGAAAAGCAAAACTGAAATCTGAATTTCCAGATGAAAGAAGCCCCATCATTCCATCAAAGGACTATATAATTTCTTTTTTTTTTTTTTTTTTCATGCCCTTGGGCTGAGAGCAAGAAGACATGAAAGTAACCATTCTCCAGAGAAAAATGTCTTCAGGGGCCCCTGCTGGTCACTTGCTGAAATAACATTCAATGATAAAAGCTGTGCAGTTTTTGCAGAAAACACTGTAGACAAGTATTTAAAAACACACATATATAGGAGACTAAGCTGGGTGTTGGTGGCTCACTCCTATAAATCCTAGCTATTTGGAAGGATGAGATCAGGAGGATCGCAGTTTGAGGCCAGCCCAGGCCAAAAAGTTCATGAGACTCCATATCTCAAGGGAAAAAAGATGGGGTGGTGACATTTACCTGTCATCCCAAGCAACAGTAGGAAGCATAGAATAGGAGGATCGTGGTCCATGCTGGCCTGGGCAAAAAGTGGAACCCCATCTCCAAAAAAGGCTCAAAGTGTGGCTCAAAATGGTAGGGTGCTGTGTAGCAACTGTGAAGCTCTGAGTTCAACACCCACCCCCCTAAAAATCTTAAAATCATACATTTCAATTAAAGGTGAGCTATGTTTCTCTTCTCTTCTTGCCTTCTAAACCACTTTTTTCCTCCAAATGAACTTGATCTTTCTGACACATCTTAATACAAAAAGTATTTTCCACAAACCAATTAAAAATGACTACTTCAACTTTCCTCAGGGAAAAAGATGTATATAAAAAAAGAATCTAATTAACTGCAATTGTTATCTAACCTCCTTTAGGTTTAGTTCAACCACCACATGACCTGGTACAAACCTGCTTGGATTTTGTCATCATGGAAAGCTATTCTCATGAATGCCGGGCTATTTCAGCTACCTGGATTCAAATGAATGAGGAAGTCTTAGGCATTTAACTGGGGCAAGCATGGGAAAGGTAAAAGGCAAAAATAATGGTGTTTGTTAGAGTCATTGGAGCTGATGCTCAACCAACTTAAAGAGGAGGTAAAAAAATCAGATCCGACCCCTTTCCTCTGTCTGTGTCTTTTCCATGGTGGAGGTGTGGCCCAGACACAGTGCTGTACTGTTAAGCAGCACACTAGTTTCGGTCCAGGTTTGGCCATTATCATCTCCACTCCAGTACTGTGGTTCTCCTTTCTTTGCCTGTTACATCAGGAACTGAACCAGAGCAGGTTTGATGGCCCGTCTGCTAAGATTCCAGTCACTATCTGATCTGCAGATGAATGACCTATATCATGTGATAAAAGTTTATTTACCTATTTTTTGTGGTTCTGGGGATGGAACCCAGAGCTTCACACACGCCAGGCAAGTTCTCTCCTACTAAGCTATATTTCCCCACACCATGTGATACCAGTTTTGTTAAGCAGATAAGAAAACAAATTTTGTATTACTTATACAAGAATCTATTTACATCTACAAATTTATATATAATCATAGCCTGTATTTTTGATTCATTCTATCAAACAAGGAAAAGTGGACATGAAGAAAAGAACCCCCAAAAGGAACTAGGGGCTTTGAACTCTGAACCCTTCCTCAGTCTCTCCCTTTTTTTTCCTTTTTGCCTGTTTCTTTCTGCTCTGTGGAAGTACGTAAGTCCTCAAGTGTCCATTCTGTAAACTGGCACAGTTGCCTTATCTATCTAAGGCAGGTCTACATCACTCAAAATGCCATTTAGTTTCAACGTATGTAATTCTGACGAGTGTGGTGGTGAATACCTGTAATCCTAGCTACTCATGAGGCAGTGACAGGATGAGCAAATAGTGATCTGAGGCTTGGCCCAGGGCAAAAGTACAAAACCTTATCTAAAAATAAACTAAAAGCAAAGGACTGGGGGGTTTAGCTCAAGTGGTAGAGCACTTGCCCGGCAAATGCGAGGCCCTGGGTTCAATCCCCAGCACCAAAAAAGAAAAAAATTCCATAATTCTGCAAGGTTTACCAGCACATTGCATGCTGCAAGGGCTAGTTCATGTACTTGAACCAAAATCTAAGTTCCTTGAAATGTTCTAATCTGCATTTCATACCAGATAATGGCTGATATTTACTTCTTATCCAATTATTTTGAATGAGTCAGTTTTATTCTAACAAGAAAAATGAATCTCACAAAATCAATTCATTAAAAGAAATTATTAGTATTTGCATTTTGTATTAGAGTTTTCAAAGATCTCAAAACACCAATAAATGAGACTTTCAAAAAGTAAGCACAGCATGGCCGGGCACCAGTGGCTCGTGCCTGCAATCCTAGCTGCTTGGAAGCCTGCAATGAGTGGGATCATGATTCAAGGCAAAAAGTAGGAGACCCCATCTCAACCAACAGACTTTTTGTGGTGGTGTGCACCTGATACCCCAGCTATAGTGGGAAGTAAAAATAAGCGAATCATGGTCTGGGCTGGTCAGGCAAAAAGTGAAACTCATAAAAAAAAAAATCAGAGCAAACAGGGCTGGAGGCATGGCTCAAGCAGTAGAGCTCCCACCTTGCAAGCCCGAAGCCCTGAGTTCAAATCCCAGTATTGAAAAAAAGTAAGCATATCAGTATTTCAACCCCTAAATGAAGAAGTACTTTCAACTCCTCATCTTGTGATGGAAGCATTCATCTCATTAATATTCTCTTTGCAAACTGTCTCAGAACCAGCTTGTCTTTCACACTTTGCCTTTGACTTGGACCAGAAGCTATTCAACTTGACCATCCACCATCTTCACCAGATTCGATTCCAAGCGATTTCAATAATCACCTTCATCCTCATGAGTCGGGGGTTGTTAAAAATACTGAGCTGCAGTCTGAGAAGCTTCTCAGAGTTTGGAGCAATGAGAAGACGACATAAATAAGTGTGTGGTTTCCTCAGTGGCTGCTTTGAAGAATCGAAAACCAATTCTGAAAACACAAATCGTGAAGTCTGGAATTGCTTTCCAGTCTGTCTTACACTCTGCAGATCTGCACAGTCATCACTAAGAAACTGTATGTCATTATTCCCACCATGACAGACGAGGTATGCACATCTGCCCAGACCAGGTGTTTCCCTGATTGAGGTCCCACTGCATGCTGGTGGGGAAGGAAGGAGTGAGTCCAAACTCTGTCGCCCAACACACAGCATGTCTCCCTCCATTAGCACATTAGATGGGCAGACACATCTGTGCCTTCCTCTTTCAGAAGTATCATATTCTGGCTTTCTTCTCAGGTTCTCCCAACCCTCCCAGGATGGCCCTCAAAGCATTGCTCACACGAAGCTCTGAAATTTTGCTTCTCAATGTCTGGCAGTGGCATAATTGGGGACTTCCAAAGACTTCATAGGAACCAAAGCAGTAAGGAAGCAGACGTGATTCAATCCATCCCACATGGTACTTGAGCTCAGCACTGGCCTCCAGAATACAAATGATGAATAACATCAAAAGAACATATGGTAAAATTTAAATGGAGTGTTCCTGTCCTTTTAGGTTTCCTACTTGGTATCCAACAAGCTGAGGAGGGCAGAAGTTTCCAGACTTTTTTTCTCTTCTGCAATCTCACCACAGCCCGCCACACACTGGCCAGGGCTAAAGGTCTGGGCTGACATATGACATAAATTCCTCCTGTGCAATGCTAACAGCTGTCTATGCTTTTAACATCTGCCAAGTCCAAGTGCTATTTGTGATGTTGAGAGCCTGGGCATCTGCTTAGTCTGAGGCTACGTGCCCGGTGAGTGGCAGTGTATTAGCCTATTAACCCCACAGCCTGGCCAGGGTCCAGCACACCATGTGGTTCCCAGGCCGCCCAGGGAAATGTCTGCTCTTGCCACAGCCCACGCTTTTTAGAAGGAATTCTGGCCTGAGAGCCCTGCTTGGTTGAAACAATTTTTTCAAGCTCATAATAGTCACAGCTGGGTCAAATACGGGACAGGCAAACCATTTGCCTCTACTATCAAATAAGGTGTTTTTGTTTCTCTTTAGAAATTTCCCTCGTTTCTGAGAAATACAGTTTCTCAAATTTCAGATGGAGGCAAACAGCACTGGTTAGTTCTTATCTTCGATCTTGGTATTGGCTAGTGTACAGGCTGGAGGAGTTGACTAATAATATGTCATTATTTTTATTTTTATTTATTTGTGTGTTTATTTGGTGCTAGGGATTGAACCAAGACTTCACATATGCTAAGCATGAACTCTACCATTGGGTCACACCACCAGCCGCAATACGATTTTTAAATGGAAGACTGCTATGGTTTCAATATGGCATATCCCTTCTGAAACGCATATTAAATTTGATTGTCATTGTGGAAGGATTGGGAGGTAGAACCTTTAAGAAGTGATCAAATTATTAAGAAGAATCAATGTCTTTCTCTCGGGAGTAAGATCTTGCTTGCTCAGGACTAGATTAGTTATTGTTTGACAGGCTGCTAAAAAGCAAGGCTGCCCCTGGTGTTCTGCCTCTTTGCACAGGTTTGTTTTCCCTTCTGACTTCTGCCATGTTATAAGCAGCAGGAGGCCCAGGACAGTGAGCCAAAACAAACCTCTTTACTTATAAACTACCCAGTCTTGGGTATTCTGTTGCAGCAACAAAAAATGGACTAAGACAGGGACAACTAAAAGATGAGAGAGAGAGGGCACAGGGAATCATCCCTCATCTGTCCCCATTCTCCCACAAAGCTGAGGCTTTCCAGTGGCTGAAGTCTGCCAGATGCAAGGCCAGCCCAGAGAGTTTGTTGGGGAGACATGGATATAGTCTGGGCAGTGAGGAAGCAGGCAGAGCTGGAGGGTCCTGCAGGAGCGATAGGAGGCGCTCCATTGGCTCCTCTCAGGCAGAGCTCTCTATGGTGAGAGGCATGGGGCAGATTCTTCAGTATTCTGGGGAGTTCCATTATGTCTTTACACATCACCAGTTTCCCAAAGTGAAGGGATGGTTCTTTCTCCCTTTTGGATCACCTTCTCCCCTGAGTGTGAAGTTCAAAGTACCTTCAGCAATCGTGGAAGTGAGATTTCTAAAGTCCTATGTGCTTTTACAGATGTACTAAAGGTTTGATTCTTAAAGAACAAGAGAACTATTTGGTTCATAATGCTTTTCAAGTAAGTCTCCAAACAGGGATGATCTGAGCTTAAATCATTTAGTTATAAAACAATGGTTTTATTGATCCAGTGGAAAAGTAGATTGCATCCTAAGGTTTATGCTGGCTATGGTTCAGACTTGACATTCTAGATATCAAAAAAGATGAAGAAAGAGAAAGAACTTTTAGAAGAATCAAACATACTCTTAAAAAGAGCTGAACAGAAGAATTCCTATAATTTCTTAGTTTCTACAGCACCTACCTACCTATTTGTTTGTTTATTCATTTGCCTACTTACTTATTTTGAGATGGGGTCTTGCTATGTAGTTCAGCCTGGCCTGGATCTCCTGGGCTCAAATGATCTACTCGTTTCAGCCTCCTGAGTAGTTGGAAGTACAGGTATGTGCCACACCTGGTTTCTATACTTTTTATCTTCAAAATGGAGATAAATCTGCCTTAGCACTAAATGAGATACTCCACACAAAATGCCAAGGCAGCATGGGACACTGGTGGCACTCAGTGTGGAAAACTCCGTACACTAAAGTCCCCAGTAGGAGAAAGGCCAATGCCATGGGGTTTAGAAAAATAGAGCTATGTGTTTTAGTGTACACCTATTTAGAAGACTTGATAAAGGAAATTCGTGAATTCAAGGTTCCATTTGTTAGAATCTCAAGTTTCAACAGGAAAAAGTAATTTGAAGCAAGCCAAGTAAAGAATATGTGAGTTGAACTAGGGATGGTAAATGCTCTCCTGTAGTCCCAGCTATTCAGGAGGCTGAAGTGGGAGGATGCGTTGAGCACAGGAACTTGAGACCAGCCTGAGAAACATAGTAAGAGTTTCTATATGTGTGTGGATTGCTTAAAAGTATATTTTAATAATTAAACGGAATAGCTGAACACTTAACAGGCATGCCTAACTCTTGATCTGTGGACAGACTCAGGTTGGGAGCCTCTTATAGTTCTGGCTCCCACTAGCATCAGGTGCACACTGATGGAATCACTTCCATGCAGTTCACAGAACACTTATGGTCAGCTCTGAACGTCTCTGATGTCCACAAAGCCAGGGTTTAAAGCTGAACCTTTATAGTATTTCACAGCTTTAAAAATAAGAGCTTTATCACAGGGTTAAAACTTCTTTCAGAAAGAAATAAATCAAATCAAAGTTACTAAAACAAGGCAAGTAAATCAAGGAGTACTGCACAGTGGATACAGAACTTCTTTATAAAGGCCCAAGTCCCAGCTACGTGCCAGTGGTACACACCTGTAATCCTAGCTACTTGGGAGACTGAGATTGGGAAGATTGTGGTTTCAGACCAGCCTGGGCAAAAACATTTTCAGGCCCCCACTTCAACAGAAAAAGTTGGGCATGGTCGTGAGCACCCATCATCCCAGCTACAGTGGGAAGCATAAAATAGGAGAATTATAGTCCAGGCCAGTCGAGGCAAAAAGTGAGACCCTACCTCCAAAATACCCAGAGCAAAAAGGGCTGGAGGTGTGGCTCAAGCACTTGCTTGGCAAGCACAAAGGCCTGAGTTCAAACCCCAATACTGTCAATAAATAAACAAGCAAATAAATAAAAATTAAAAATAAAAATCCTAAATTCCTATAGAGAGAACATTCCCAAAGATTGGGTGTCCCCTTTAAAAGCCTTTGAAAGAAGAGGGTGTAACATTAGTATTTCTCACTAGAATTTTACTATAGGAAAATTTTCTGATATATGCAGCATCCAAATTCATGTATAACTAGTACTTGGATCTCGGAGATCAGTCTGTGAGCTTGGTTTTTGTAGAGGAGGACCTCATGCCACGACAGGCCAAAGTACTTTCTGGATCCAAGACACCACTTTTCCCATTCTATGAACCCCTTTGGTATCTTTCCCTATGGCCCCTAAAGCCTGGCAGGTCTAACTTAATGTGTATTTTAAATAAGTAAAAGTGAAATTAAGATTTAACTATTTTAATAATTTATCAGTTGAAAAGGCTCTATTTGATATTTTATGAATAATATTCAATAACTTTGCCTTGAGAAATAGAATTTTCAGCCAGGCATAGTGGCTCATGCCTGTAATCTCAGCTAGCCAGGAGGAAAGGTAGGAGGATCATGGTCTGAGGCTGGGCCCACTAAAAATATGAGTGAGATATGTCTGAAAACTAATTAAAGCACAAAAAGGCTGAGAGCATGGTTCAAGTGGAAGAGCACCTGCCTGCCCATGCACAAGGGCCTGAGTTCAAACCCAGAATCACCAGAAAAAAAAAAAAAGAAAAATAGAATTGACATATGGTGTAGAGAAGCTTTTGTAATCCAGAAAAATAAGAGTGACAAGTGTTGGAGAAAGCAAGAGAACTTCCATTCCATGGGAGATGCCAAGCAAGGGTGAAGGCTGGCAGAACCGTGGGAACAGAGCGTAGAAACAATTCTAATTATCCTGGGATGCTGCTGTGACTTTTCTTCCTCCAGTGTTCCTATCACTGCTGTATCTTCTGCAGGTTCACCCAACTGTGGCTAACGGGAAACACATCCAACAATCATTTACTTGCTTCTTTCTGTACCTGCCCCATTTAAACCCATCCTCTCAACCCCCATGTCATTCTGGTGAATGAAATGAGGCTCCATTGCTAGACAGTCAAATGTAACCATGGACAGCTATTACCTGGAAGAAAACTTCTAGGGCTGGGGGTGTAGCTCAGTGATCAACGGCTTGGCTAGCATGGTGCAAAGCCCTGAGTCAGATCCCCAGCACCACACACACAAAAAGAAAATTTCTAAATGCACTTCAGAAGAGTCATCATCTCACCTTCTGTAAAATAAACAAAACTTAGATTCTAATCTCAAAGATGTAGAGCTTATATATGAATTTTCTTCATTTTCACAGTCAGGCACAACTAGTTTATGAATTCAGTTTGAACCACATGTCTCTGAAAGAGAAAAGTCACATCTCAGCTCCCATCACTAGGGAGCTATGTTTAATCAAAGAATTAAACATAAAATAAGAAATGAGGACCATAAACAAGTGAATCCTTCCTCTCTCCCTTCCTTCCTCCCTTCCTCCCCTCCTGCCTTCCTCAATCTTCCTGCCTCAGCCTCTGGAGTGCTGGGATTACAGGTGTTCACCACCACGACTGGCTTAACTGATGCTTTCTGTTTGCATCCTCATGGAGTCTGCGCTACACCAGCTGTTGGGTGATGCAGTCATGCCCAAATATCTCAGCTTCCATGAATTATTCTGGCATCACAACACATCCCCAAATGGAGTTCAATCCGTGAATTCATCTCTTGCTCCACCACCTTGATCTTTTGCTAAGGCTAAGCTGTGAGAGTTCCGTTCCACTCGTTAGATCTTACCTTTCTTTAATCGACATGGTCTTGCTGGGTGAATCGAGGATGCCCTCTCCCACCGGTGCTCTGATCTCCCCAGCAGCAGGCATGGCGCATGCACTCTTGTAGTGCTTCTCCTGTGGCAGTTCTGAAGGGTCCTGCTGCCTCCAGGAGACTGGGGTTGCCATCTGAGCAATGGCTTTGCCTGCCCCTGTCCCTGTCTGCTCAGACACTGGCTCCCCAAACTCTGCTGCTGGGAAGAAAAGGAGAGATGTGGCATATTATTCCCCCAGCACACATTCTCCCAGTATTGACCTCCCAAAGTGGAGCAGAGTGCAACACGTGGGTACATGGCGGGTCACCCAGGCCACTGCAAATCTTTATCACGCTGTTCTCTTGAGAAAACCTGAATTCCCAGTGGACTCCCCAAACAACAGCTTTCACTGTTCACCATGGAATGGGTTTGACAGGGGCTCATGCAGGTGCTCTACCACTTACTTGAGCAATGCTCCCAACCTTTTTTGCTCTATTTATATTTGGGATAGGGTCTTGCATTTTTGCCTCGGATCTGTCTACGCTTCTAGAGTAGCAGGTGTGTCACCATGCCTAGCTTATTTGTTGAGATGGGGTCTTGCTAATTTTTGGCCAGGCTGGCTGAAAACTGGGGTCCTCCTGATCTCCCTGGGACTACAGACATGTGTTACCATGCCCTGCCCACCACAGAATGTTTCTACTTCTCCAAAACAATTCATGTGCGCTTCCAGTGTGCTGTATTCATAAGCCCATCCTCTACTAAAACTCCCACAGTAGCACCGGATGGAAATGTAGAAAGGGGATTTGAATCCGTGCAGATAGCTTACTAGTCTGCATCAGGACTGTAGACAGGGCCTAGAAATCAGACTGGTTCAAGTCCTTTATTCCCTGTGCTTAGCCAGCCTGGACCTTTTGGGCCATCAATTTATCAAAGGGGTCAACAGAACTTACGAGCGCAGAAGGCTGTTGTGTGAGTTAATGTCACCTGAAACCCTTATCAAACTGTGGTAAAGGGTCAGCTCTATTTACTGCTGAAAACACAGTCAGTGCACTGAGCATGTCAGGTTCAAGGGGAAGAGAGATTTGGGGGAAAATTAAATTCACACTGGACTTTTGATCCACACTAACTGTAAACGGCCTTTAAATTTACTTAAAAAGACTGGGTGCTGGTGGCTCACGCCTGTAATCCTAGCTATTCAGGAGGCAGAGATCAGGAGGATTATGGTTCAAAGCCAGCCCAGGCAAATAGTTCTGTGAGACCCTATCTCAGAAGAAAAAACCTTCATAAAAACAGGGCTGGTGCCATGGCTCAAGGTGAAGGCCTTGCGTTCAAGCCCCAGTACTGCAAAAAATAAATAAATAAATAAAATAAACAAATAAATAAGTTTTTTCATTAAAAAAATTTTACTTAAAAAGGAATCACAAACATACACAACTGATTGATCAAAAACTGAAAACCCCATTGTTTTTGAAAGCTGTTGCAAAAGTAGAAATTTACCTTTGAGTGACAGCTTCCTTTTTGAGACATTCTCCACATCCTCTTTGTCTTCAAAGGGCTGGCCGTCCTTCAAGTCCACGTTTCCTTGTATGCTAATTTTAGCACTGGAAAATTCCTTCAGTTCATCACCAAGATGGGCAATGGGCGGATTAACCAGTTCCAAGCTTCCTTTCCTCAGAGGGGCATATTTAGGGTCCTTTTGGCTGTCCCCTTCCCTGACTCTGCTAAGGCTGGGGAAGAATGGTTCCACTTCCTCAAAGGACCCACATGTCTTCACCCCACTCTCCTCGCCAGTCACAGTCTTACTTTCTGCCTCTCCAAATTCCCTCTGCATTCCTCTGCCCCCACTCCCCTCTGCCAAAGGCTGCCAGGCCTGTGACTTCAGAATGCTTCTAATGGGAGAGTCTGAGTTTTCCGTGGGAGAAGAAAACTTATAGTCAGTGGCACTTGTACTGTTGTCCACAGATGGCTTTGTCCGAAGATCCCCTGCATATGTGGGAGCAGCGGTGGGAGCCGTGGTGGACAAAGATGTGCTCACAGTCGGGGAGAAGGAGATGAGCTTCCCACTCTGCACCTGGGAGGACACAGGGATAAACTAAAACTGACTGAAAAACACTGTCAATCTAAATCCTATGGCTGGGATTGGCACAGATTGAAAAACTCCACTGGGTGCCATTTCCTGGTTTATCTTAGTGGAAAAGCATCCTGCCACCCAGTTCTAGAACACAGCAAAAACAAAACCTTCTGGGGAAAAGCAGGTTGTACCTACAATTTTTTTTTCTCTCCAAGGTGAACTCATTGGAATGAGTTCACAAGCAAATTATGAAAACAAAAGAAAAGTATACTTGGCATGGCTATCTTTCTTGAGGAGGAAATTATTAACAAATTGCCAATCAATACCAGTTTACCAGGAGATCATCTTAATTCTATCATTCATCTACGATCAACACGGTACTGCTCTATTTTAAGAACACACGTACCTGTTCCACCTCTCCAAGTGTGACCGGCTGAGTCTGATAGCGAGCATTCATTCTCCTCTGTCTCACATCCAGTCTGTTACGGGTAGAAATAGCTTTTGAGACCGGCTGGGACAATTTGTTAAACAAGGCCAACTTCTCTGCTAGGCTCAGAGTGGAGGAATCAGGTTCTCCTGGGTCAGTGAAGTCTTTGCCCTCATTTGCCTGGTCCCTGGCTAAAGTCTTTTGGTGAGCAGATGCCTGTAACCTGAAAGGAGAGGAACAAAATGTCAGGGACACAGATGAAAAACAAAACAGAAGCCCCCCCCCCCACTACTTTTATATATTGCCTTTCTTTAAGGTGTCACTTTTTTTTCTCCCTACATAAATTTAGGACAGGAGCAGGCAATTGCTTAGCCGTTAAAGACAGTAACTAGCAGATTAGGCTGGGGACACTAGTATCATCCATTCCACAACAACAGATTTTTAGTTCTGAATTATTTCTATAAAGGGATGTCCTGTTTAAGGAACCAAAGTCGGCTTGGATGTACCTTATCTCAGAGAGACAGCATGGTTAGCGGCATAATCAATAGATCTTTAGGCATTGCTTAGGGTGTAGTTACACAGTCTTAAAGGTGAGTTTCAAAAGGTCATCTTTCCATTTTAAAGAACATTTGCCAACAACATAATGTGCAATACAGAATTTTGATTCACACCTGCCAAATACAAAGCATCTTAAAGATGCTTTCATTCCTTTATGTAGCATTTTTCTCTCATAGGTCTCATGGAGCTCTACCATTTTAGCCACTCTGCCAGCCCTTTTCTGTATTGGGTATTTTCAAGACAGGGTTTCAAGAACCATTTGCCTGGGGCTGGTTTCACACAGCAATCCTGATCTCTGCCTCCTGAGGACTGCAGGTGTGAGCCGTCAGCAAGTACCTGGAGTCTCATAGGTTTCTACCAGTTTTTAAAAAGTACTTAAATCTAATTTGCAGTACCTTGAAAAGTGACAAAAATTCCAAGTAAATATAAATCCCTTCAACTAGGGCTGGGGATGTAGCTCAGTGGCAGACTGCTTGCCTAGCATAACTAAGGCTGTAGATTTGATCCCAAAACCACACAAAGAAAATTAGTATTAATAATAATACTAGTAATAAACCCTCCAACCTCCAGCCAGAAGAGAAGAAAGGTCTTCACCTTACATGGTCACTGTAAATCTTTTTTTTTTTGGTGGTACTGGGGTTTAAATTCAGGCGTTCTACCATTTGAGCCTCTTTCCTCTGGTTGTTTTTGAGATAGGGTCTTGCTTTTTGTCCGGGCTGTCCTGGATTGTGATCCTCCTATTTTAGGTTTCCTACCATAGTTGGGACAACAGCTGCATACCACCATAGCCTACTTTTTTCTGTTGAGATGGGGTCTCTTGAACATTTTTTCCCCAGACCAGCCTTGAACCATGATCCTCCAGATCTCAGCCTTCTACGTAGCTGGAATGGCAAGTGCATACCACGAGCTCAGATGTTGGTTGGGATGGGAGCGGGGGTCTCATGAGCTTTTTGCCCAGGCTGGCTTCCAACCCTGATCTTTCTGATCTCAGCCTCCCAAGTAGCTACAATTACGGGCATGAGGGTCACTATGAATCTTGAACAATCTCCAACAATATTCCTTCTTACAGTGGCAAATCCCACTCTCAAATCTAGTAAAAAGCATATTCTACTTTCACTCCAATTAACCACAGGCCGTCCCCGACCAGCAAGCAGTCTCTGGGTCTAGGGATAGAATGAGAATGGCAAGGAAGGTCATTGGAGCCTGGGAAACTTTATCGAGTCCAGTGATACAGACTACTTTCCTGGGTATCCCTCTTCTGGGTTACACCACTCATTCTGCACTGTCCTTTTATTTATTTCTTTGAATCTTATTTTTAGCCTTTAAACAGGAATGTTTACATGGTTTAAGAACATAATTCTAAAGTACCACAATTTAAAACCCAGCCATAAAACATCTAGAATTCTGAAATATAACAGCATTGTCTCTCTACAAATTAGAAATGGAGAATTATTTTAAACATGTATTTGTGTCTCCATGTGCTTTTAAAGAAACTGAGTCTCATCAGAACTTCAGCATTCTGGTTAATGCCCCATTTTTCCATTTCCATTTCAATTTTTTTAAACAGTTTAATGCTAGTGTTTTAAAGATGAAAAATGAAAGGTTGGAGGACTGACATTATTATGAAAAACAGAAACAAATGGATAAGTAAGTTAGTGTGACTGGTGCCAACACACAATGTGAGCAGATGGATGTCATGTTTGCTCATGCAGGCCGACATGAAGTTATCAGTACCTTGCACTAGGACAAAACAAAATGCCACACATCCCGGACACTCTCTGCACTGACTTGTTTGTCAGACAAAGGAAAGGCATTCAAGGCTTTCAGATGGATCTGCTGCCCAGCGTCTCTGCACTGGGAGTGACATGCAGCTATTTCTGTCCGGTACCTGGCAGGCTGCACAGCGCTCCTAGCTACAGTGGGACTAGGAAGTCTCGTCTTTACAGGGTGGGTGACCCCAGAACACGAAGCGGGGATAGGTTCACTTTAAAAGCAATTGCCAAAGAAGGAACATCCATAAGGAGAGAGAAGAAAAGAAGCATTAAAGAAAGCATGGTTTTAAATCCAGATATGTTAAATCAAATATTTTACCAAAAATATTTGTTAATCACTTTGGGGAAAAAAAATCACAAAGTAATTACAAGCTTAGGAAATAAGAGACAGAGGCTGTCCAAAGTAAATGAAACAAGCACAGGTGCAGGGCCTGAGAAAGATTTACTCTTAACTTTAGAATGAATGTCCTTACTTAACAGAGGAATTTTACAAAGCTAATACTGGCCGTTAGCAAATCAGTAGATTACATCCATGTTGTAGAATGTTGTGCTCAATTTAGTACTATTAAGAGTATTACTGCTATTATTATTTTGGTGGTACTGGGTTTGAACTCAGGGCTTTGCACTTGCTAGGCAGGCGGTCTACTACTTGAGCCACACTGCCAGCCCTTTTGCTCTGGTTACTTTGGAGATAGGGTCTTGCTTTTGCCCAACCTGGACCCAGATCCTCCTATTTTAGGCTTCCCACCATCGCTGGGATGGTACCAGGCATGTGCCACCACACTCATATAAACTATATGCACATCAAGTAGATTTATTGAGACTTAAAAGGGGTCAATTTTCCCCTGTATTTACTGTTTTGTTTCTTATTTTATGTCAGCTACACAAAAAATTTTTAAGCAAACTGATTTGCTAAGCATTCCTAATAACTCCAAGAATGTGCATGTCTACAAACACATGGAGAAATGAGGGCATGGGACTGAGGACACAGCTCAGGTGCAGAGCATTTGCCTTGCACTCACAAAGGCCTGGGTTCAATCCCCAGGACTGCCAAAAACAACAACAAAAAAATTAAACAATTGGGGAGGAAAGTGAAGGCAAGTGACATCGCAGCAGGTTGTAGAAATAAGGTGAGATGTCAATGCCCCACCAAAACATTTTTTAAAAACTAATAAAAATTTTCACTTGATCAAAGCCATTATCTCTGAATGAATTACTTTGGGAAACTTGGAACGTGTCTGACCATATTGCTCAAAACTGATGTCCTGTTAAATCATTCTAATGTTAATAAATTTTTAAACATTTTTGGTGATTATTTACAAACATAATGAAGCCTCATCTTTTAGAGCCATGTACTAAAATACTTCTGGATGAAATATCTGGGTTTGCTTGAAAATAAGGTAGGAAGAGAGGTGAAGTGGACGGGAGAAGGACTGACCAAGAGCTGGGGGGTCCTAAAGCTGAGAGTTCATTATATTTCATTTACTTTTGTGTTTAACATTGTTTATTATAAAAGAGATAAAAAACCAGAATGCGCAGACAAAAACAATAAAAGATATCCTTCAATGTTTTTCTATAAGTTACAATGGGTAACATTCCATTAAAAAGCTTACAGAGACAGCAGTTAAGAAAATCCTGAAACACCGAGTTTTCTGTGGCTTCTTGTTAACCATCTCCCTATCACCTTGTTTTTATTTAAAAATTTAAAAATCTTTTTTGAAAAGGAAGGCATCACAGGCAAGGCCAAGAAAACCCAAGGCAGACTTACGTGGCTGCGATAACCACTTCCTCTGTGGTGATGGGCTGGGTGTGGGATCTGTCCTGCAGACGGCGCAGTCTTTGCTCCACAGCCGCATTTCTCGAGCGTCTCTTTGGGACGTTTTGCTCATCAAATGATTTCTCCATTTCCTGAGATTAAAAGCATTGCAGAATCATCATAAATTCAAAGAAAAGAAATTGGGACAGCAATGTGTTTCTACTCACTTCTCCTGTGGGGCCCTCAGGAGGGGACACCAAAGACATCAGTGTGTCATTAACATTTCAGGGTGGGGCACAGCTGGGTGGTCAGAACCAGTTGAAGCAAATGCTATGGATAGGATCTGAAATGTTCCCCACAGGCCCATGTATTAATGGCTTAGTCCCTAGCTTGTACTACTGGGAGGTGATGGAACCTTTAAGAGGTAGGGCCTAGGGGGAGGTCTTCAGGTTACTGGGGGTGTGGCTTTAAAGAGAATTGTGGAACTCCTGTCTCTTACCCTCTCTCGTTCCTGGCCACCATGAGGTACTCACACAACACAATTTCCTCTATTATATGCTCCTGCCACAGTGTACTGCCTGCCACAGGCCCAAAGCAACGGGGCCAATTGCTCATAGACTGGAACCTCTCAAACTGTGAGACGAAATAAATCTTTCCTGTTTCTAAGTTGACTACCTCAAGCATTTTGTTAGAGTAACAGAACACTGACTAACTCAGCACAGGAAAAGAATAACAAGTGAGTCAGATGAGGAGGGCCTTAGAGCTCCCAGAAGTGTGTGAAGTAAGTCCCAGAGCTCTGGCAGTCTCCCTCCAGGAGGGTTATCAGTTCTAACCAAGTCTTTCTGGACACCGTACCCGGAAAAGCAGCCTCTTGGCAGCAACACTCAGTTTGGCTCGTTCATCTACCTTTTCTTCATCTGTAAAAAGACATAAAAACTCAACACCATTAGGAAGTATATGTCACGTCTCTGAAATGCTTTCCAAGACGTGGGAAACCTAGAATACAAAAACGGGTGACCTGAAATAACAAAGGGAGAATGTTTTCTTCTTGGCACGAGGCCATTCTTTTACGCAGTGGAAAGGTCCGAATTTCCATTACAATTCAAACACAGCCAGACCAAAGGAAATGTATCCAGCTGGTGATCTTCTGTTACCATATTTGACCAGTAGGGCTTTAAGAATAGATTTTATATAAGAAATGTGATTACTGTTGAACAACAGCAATAATAAGAAAAATCTGTTTCTTTGGTTCAAATTAGTTTTTTCATATTGTTTACTTAATGATGCTCTCTGTTTCTGGTGAGGGAGGCATGGGCTGGCCTCAAACTGCATTCCTTATGATCTCCACCTCCTCATAAGACTACAGGCATGAGCATCATGCCCTGTATATGGTGATACTGGGGCTTGAACTCAGAACCTTGTGCCTGCTAGGCAGATGCTGTACCACTTAGCCATGCCTCCAGCCCCTTAACAATTCTCTTAACTTTTATCAAAAATAAGAGAAAGTTCAGCTGAAAGTTTTAACAAGGTTGTATTCACAGAGAGGAAAACTTTCAGAAAAGGAAGAAGTTGATAGGCTCCATAATCTTATTCTCTCACAAAGCCAAAAATCTCAGCATTTAAATCTAATCAAGAAGAGATGAAAAAGAATAAGGAAATGGATACTTGCCCTCTACAGTTGGCATTTCTGAACTTGAAGTATACCTAGGAAAGACATTAGCAAATAATAATGAAATTAGTGGTGGAGGAAGACACAAAATATCATATTGAAATAAAGGCGCAATTGAACTCTTAAAGAATACCATCTTGGTAGAAGTTCTAGCTGTGAATACCACACTGTGAAGTGTGTGCACACAATCCCAGCCAAGTGCACACCTCGTGGAGAAAAACCAGGATCAAGGAGGAGTTACTGAGCAGGACTGATGATACATTTTGGATTAACATTTCTATGCAATAGAATGTGATAATATAATATAAAAACTTAAATACAGGAAGTACCCATTCATTATAAAACAAATATAAAATCCTTTTCTTATTTTCACTGAAAGTCTGGTGGATATTCAATTCAGATGCTAATTTAACAAGAAGGTAAAAATAAAAATTAATGAAGAAAAATAATGTTCCTTCCTTCCATCTGAATGTGGTTTAAAACTGTACTGTGATGCTGTTGGAAAGGTCAACATTCTTTAAAAACACCCTTCAATAAGCCAAATAAATATCCCTTCCACATTAGATGGAAGAATTATGAGGTCACCAACCTCATGAGGACCATCAGAGGGTGGTGATAATCTCGTCTTATTTCTTTTATGCTCCTAGACTATGGAACTACATGTACCCATGCCTACCTATCGGACTCCTTTCGTTCTGCTGAGGTTATAGGTTGAGTTCTAAATCTCTCAGAAGTTTTTCTATTTTCGCCTGGAGAAAAATATCGCCTTGGTTTCCGAGACCCTCTCTGCTGTTCCATACTGGTGGGCAAGCCAACTCCTTCGGTTGATCTCTCAACACGTGATTGGCTTTTAGATCAGATGGAAGAGTATACAGCAGGGAAAGGGAAGGACAGAGAAAGAGAATAAAGCAAAGGTTTATGCATCTCAGTGAGTCAAGGCATAGATCCCTCTGCATGCCTCTACCATGCATGCATGGAGGTGGAACATTCCAGAAACCCACTCCACCAGCTCCCCATTAGTAGGCAGAAGCAGAATGGTAGGTGTTGAGCCATTTCCTGTAAGTCTGCCCTTCACACGTGTGAGCTAAGCTTATGATTCAATGCAGGACACAGCACAAGCTGAGGAGTGAATCGTTCTGTCAAGGACGTGCAAGTGACACATCAGGAGGAAGGCTGAAACATCACCTACAGTTCGGGTTTCTTGCTCGCTCTGGCAGACTCCAGAAACACATTTCGGAGCTGGGCGACAGAGACCTTCGTGTCCAGCATGCCTGCCTCTGCACAGGGCCCTTCAGCCCTGGAAGTCTGAGGCTCCAGCTCTCTCTTTGAAGCCGGGTCTTTACGTCGTAAGGCCTGGAGCTGAGGGGGACCGGTGTAATCAGACAGGGAGCGGGTGAGGACCTTGTGTTTCTTTGGAGATGCTTCCTTTTGGTGACTGGTCAATGTGGTGTCTTGGGACACAGGCTCGCTCTGAACATACAAAACCATTTCACTCCGGCCTGTTTTCTCAGCAGGCTGGTGTTGAGCTTGTGGGTCCTGGTGAGGTTCGAGGGTGACAGTGCTAACAGCAGGCTTACCTAAGTCTTCATTCACAGAGGCGTCTTGGTGGCTTGTGGAAAGCCCATCATTCTCCAAAGTCAAGTGTGTTTTATGGTTCTTCTCCAGAGCTTCAGAGAAGAGCACATCTTCGTCTGCTTTTGACTCACAGATATGAAGGGTGGGAGGCTTTGGGACATTTGGGGTGGCTGAGCCTACCCAGCTGCACTCAGATACGTGATCTGGAGCTTCCGTGGTTGCCAGCTTGACAGTGTGAATGGGATTTTCTGGTTGGACACAGCCACGGTTCAGCTGTCGCACAGAGCTCATTGTTTTGCTTGTGACCCTATCAAAGGCCGAATTTTCTGACTGAAAGGACAGGAAATGGACGGGCACTGGCTGATGTCTCCTCTGAGTTAAGGACTCTGAGGCAAGTTCAGGGCTGCCGCGAGCACTCTCCTCTTTCACCAGTTTTTCTCTAACTTTAACTCTTTAAGAAAGAAAAAGGGTTTAAGTTGCCGCGTGCAGTAACTGCTAAAGGAGAAGTAAGCATGCGCAGATCACTGATTACCAGCAAACGGAAATCAACTCAGAGAGAACAACTTATGAAAGGCCTCTGGAGGTTTAATATAGACACACCATACTTGCAAGATCAATGATTTGAAGTTAAGTTTTCAGATTTACCAAAGTAGTTGCAAAACTAACCACATCCCCACAAAGCTGTCAGGTGCTTTCTTGGGGGAGAATGGGTTACCTAGAAACTACAGGAAAAAAATCATTAATATGCACCACTGGTATGCATTATTGTGCACTGAGATGGGTGACTTGAGTCACAGCTTTCTGAAGTACCGGCCCAGAATACGGCCTGTGGGTGATGCTGGTGGGCCATTCCAGGGAAACTTACACCTATTGCCCAAATGTTGTAATTTCATTGACTCCTGGAAGTGTAAGAGCACTTGCGATTATTGCCGCTTTCTATTGAGCTAAGACATGATTATCACCCCTCTTTTGAAGCATGTGGCAAAACATCTCCAAGCCTCTTCATGCAATGCAGACTACATTCATCTGCTTGTAAGACATGTTGCAGTTTGGACATGATTACTAACAACCGAAGCAACAAAAGAAGATTAGAGAAGAAAAAAGTACTGGTTGAGAGAACTCCACCAGAACTATTGTCGTTAATTAAAAAACAATCCAAAAAGAGGTTTTTTTGTTGTTTCTAGTTAGTCATATAGCTGAGAACAAAACTGAAATCCATTTCAAAAAGCCACAGAGCCTGGGGAACTTACCTGTTTTTTTTTTTTTTTTTGGTGGTACAGGGGCTTGAACTTAGGGCCTACACCTTGAGCCGCTCCACCAGCCCTGTTTTGTGATGGGTTTCTTCAAGATAGGGTCTTGAGAACTACTTGGATTTGTATAGTGATTCTACTGATCTCTGCCTCCTGAGTAGCTAGGATTACAGGCGTGAGCCACTGGCACTTGGCTAAATTTCTTTCTTCCTTTCTTTTTGGCAGTACTGGGGCTTGAACTCAGGGCCTTCTATTTGCTAGGTAGGCACTCTACCGCCTGAGCCACTCTGCCAGCACTCACCTGCCTTCCTTAAGTCTCAGGTGCTTTACCTTCTAAATGGAAATAGAGTGGGATAGAGGGCTGGGGGATGTGGCTCAGTGACACAGCACTTGGCTAGCTTGCAAGAGGCCCTGGGTTTCATCCCCCCTCCCCAGAGGAAACAGTAGTGCCAAAAGGTAATGTGATGTTTGCAGAGTGCATGACTTGCTGCTTAGCAAAGAGTCAAAGAATACACATTTCATAGTGTTAGCTACTTCTTACTTTGCATCACGAGTGCAGAAGGGAACCCATTTCAACCAATAATGGATTACTGATTAGGTATAACTTTGAAAAAGTAAAGAAGGCTTGTGGAGTAGGGAGGTGATCTCTTGGGGGAAATGCAGAGCTTTCATTTTCAGAGTTAGCAGAAGTAATTACTATATTTGCTTCATAGCAAAGCTTGTCCCTTTAAGGACAAGCGTGCCCTAAGCTTGATAAAAACTCCTCTGTTTTCAAACAGGGTATCAGGATATTTCATTACAGAAAAATCAAAGACACACATAAAGGTAGTAACTATGAACACTTCGTGGGAAAAAAGCACTCTGAGTAGCTATTTTTCCCAAGACTAGCCAGTGTTGGAGGTTTTTATATTTATAACCCTTGTTGATCAAAAGATTGAAAAGTAGTTAAGTTCTTCTGTGGAATGTGTGCTTCTAATCAGAGACAATCTCAGTGTTGTCCTCGGTTGGGGACAAAGTCGCTGTTAGAAACTCAATCCATGGGTGCATTGTCCTTCAATGACTTGGTCATTCTTACTTCTTCCGCCTCTTCCTGCCCCCAATCTTAAAAATGAAATGATTGGGGTTTTTGTCTGCTTTTCAAACCACATGTCCTGACTTTAACTGTTGAAAATTAACTGCTGGTTTAGAGACAAGAAAACAAGGAGGCGGAAGTCTGGGCAGAGAGGGCACTGGCTAGGTGGGGTGACTCAAGAGAACAGCCAAGGTCTTGTTAGGCACTCACCACTGCCCCCTTCTGGCCAGTTCTATGTGAGATGGTGAGAAAGGAGAGGAGCAAGAAGTGTGGTTAAGATTATCAGAGAGGGGAAAAGGAGGAAGGAGCAGATTAAGGCAATGAGAGGAGAAAATAAAGTGACTAGAAAGTAACTGCTTTTTGGACACATGATTCTCAAATGCACTGCTATTATTAAAAAGAAGGAAATAAGAGCGTCAGCATCAGCCAGTATGTGGAAGCCCAAGGCAAGCCAGAGGAAAGACAGAAAGGCACCCATTGGATGCATGCCACGGAGGTACCTGGAAGGCCAGTTGATAAGCGAAGGTGTGTCCCCTTCGGAATCTTTCTGGAGAAACCACTCATGTTTGGGCTTCCCTGTACTATCATGTACAAAAAAACAGAACAAAACTTCAGGTAATTTCTACTGAAATGTCAGCATATACACAGACTTTATTATAACTGAAATCTAAATGTTGTTCTTTGTTAAGTAAATTATAATCCTGGCTTTTGAAAATATAAAAGCACATTTTGCCTTGGGGTTTATATTTGCTTCACGGAATTTCTAGGACTTCTGGCTGGCTCTAAAAATTAAGAGATAGAAATAAATATATGTAAAGCAGCCAGAGAATATGTTTTTCAAGTTGTTTAAATTACTAGAAAGGAGACTATCATAGTCACACTCTGCTCACAAATGCCATATAATTATCTTGTGAGATCGTTTCCGTAAGTTTCATTGAGACATATTGGTAAATAGTCAAATATAAAACTAGTGTCCATGCAAAAACAATACCTACAGAAGGAAGGAAATAAATAAAAAGAAATTCAGTGAGATCATATCTTTAGCTGCTATTATACATTTTCCTTTTTTCTCTGAATAATGCAACCAATACCACAGTTACAGATGCTAATTCAGGTTAGTTAGATAAACGTGTACCGATGTCCTACTATGTACAAAACACTGAATTAAATAAGCTCTGAGAAGTAACAAAGGTGAAAAAGGCTTCATCCAGCCTGGGAAAACTTTGCATCATGTTAAGATAACATGTGATTTACATATTCATTCCTCAATATTCACTCAAACATAATGCAAAGTAGAGGCGGACAATGTTATTATGCCAGGCTGATGACATTGTTGAGAAAAACAGCAGGCAAGGACAACCTTGTGCTAACAATGTAAAATAAGTCACAGGACTGTATCATTCTCTTATGACATGGATAGAAAAAATTGGAAATTCTGCATGTGACTTATATGTCTATCAGCTCAATACTTACAAAACTATCTACAAAGTTTCAGTGCCAGACCTGAAACACACTGTACCTCCAAGTGATTTCCAAAAGTGTAGAATGGGAATTACAATTGAATTATTTTCTAAAATTATTTTAGTTCAAGCTGCCTGTCACTGCTCCTGTACTCTTGCTCTGTCTATGTTTGAACTTATATATTTCTCCAGTAAAATTCTCCAGTCTTTCTACACCCAAATCTGTTACCCCATCTCCCAGTTGCCACCATTACAGCAATTTTACCCATAGCAAATAAAGAAGATGTTTGGAAAATCATTTCATTTTCCAATTGGACTACAAAAAGTCCAATTTTTCAACATTCGTTTGGATATAGAAATAGTCCAACATAATATCTGCAGCTGTGAAAGTCCTAATACAACTTAGGACAGTATGTATGTAGAGAAAAGGGAACACTACAGCAAAGCTGTTATTTTAAGGCTCAAATGAATTTTTATACAATAGAGTGCTTTGTGAACTGTGAGTCACTACCCAACTTTTTTGAATGTGACCTTCATGGGCAAGTAAAACACTTGGCCAGCTTCATCATAAAAAAATGATCAGAGGCTTGCTCAAGAATAGGTTAGATCAGCATTTATAAAATGAAAGTCATAGACAGAGGAAATGGCTGGGCTCCATTTATTCATTATAACTGGAATGTGAAGTCTCAAAGTTGGACACTTCTTATGTAATAAACACAAAAATGTATGTAACTAAAAAGCAATAAATAAATGGATGCGAAGGTGTCATGCATAGAACATGTTAAACGCTTATAAAGGCTGCTCGCCTCTCCTTCATAGACAACAGAGAACTGCAAGTTCATGAGTTTTACTGAGATGGTGCATGCAGAAATCTTACTCAGAAGTCACACAATTTTAAGGAGAATGGGTGCAGTCTCACTAGGAGGGCTTGCATTTTGTTTTAAGTGAATTTAAAGCAGGAGTGATTTTGTTTTGTTGTTTTCTTTTGCCAGTAAAAATAGTACTTTATTACATTTCATTTTGCTAATTCCCAACTACTATGGTCTGTGTGAGTGTCTTTCAAAGGTCCACATGTTAGCGGTGTGGTCCCTAGGAAGGTGCTGTTGGGAGATGGAGGGACCTTGAGAGGTGGGGACTAATGGGAGGTTGTTGGGCCCTTGAAGGGGACTGCGAGACCTAAGCCTCTCAGGCGCTCTCTGTGTTGATGGTATAAGCAGTTTGCTCCACCATGAGGCCAAAGTGATGGGGCTGTCTGATCTTGGACTGGAAACTCCAGAACCATGAGCTAATAACCTTTTCTATTTGTAAGTTAATTGATTCAGGTATTTCATTACAGGAATGGAAAGGTGACTAATATACCTGCCATTGTTCCAGGTCCATGACTTGTTCTCTTGTACCAATGCTCCCCTCTCTTCCTTCTCCCTTATCCCTCTAATTCCTCTCCCCCCTCCATTTCTCTTATTCTTTCTGTCATCAAACTTATTTACAAATAAAAATCTGATCACCCTATCACAAATGTATTCAGATTACCTAATGAAATGCCAAAAGGACTAGGTAAATAACAAAGCCCAGCCTGGAACCAGAGCTTTCACACCAATTCTTCCTTCACACCAATTTTCCACATTCCTCTAATATGATATTGCTACAATACACAATCTACCACCCTTGCTTTAAAGCCCTTCATGCACTTCCTATTGTTCACAAGGAAAAACCAGATGCCTCATCGTGGCACCCAAGGTGCTCCATGACTGACATTCAACTGACTCTGCAGCCTCATCCCATCCCCATCCTGCCAAGTCTGCAGCACCGCCAGCACCTCCTCTTTACTTGCAGCCTCCCTTCCACATCTGGCAACTCACCACACCCTTGTGGCTTTCGTCCAACTATGACTTCTTCTGCAAGGTAAGATTAATAGCCCATCTGTGCCACCCAACCCTGACCTCTAGAACCATAACTATCACATGTGTATGGTTACTTTCCACAGCTAGGAGCACAATGATTGGCACACAGGGAAGGTAAATACCACATTCTTGCAAGATCAACTGAAAGGCCTCAGAGCTGAAATTAACTCAAACCAACACTAATGAGGTATGGACAGATGGACAGATGTCTAATGAACTGAATTATTCCAGACTACAAGCTTCCAGTTTGGTTATCAGGATAAAGCTTGTAATTACCTGTGTAAATCCCACAAAATTATTTATATAAGCTTCTGATATGCTCTTTCTTGAAATCTCTAACCTTCAAAGGCAAGCCAGCAAATTCTTGCTTTCCAGTGATGGAAAGTAGCACTAGCATAGAGAAAAAGCAGAGTGTAGTGGAAATAACTCAGATTCAGAGAGCTTGAATGAATGAACGGATAATGGTCTCAGTTGTTTTGTTTTTTGTTTATTTGTCTGTTTTGCAATACTGGGGATTGAACTCAGGGTCTCACACTTGCTAGGCAGGTATTCTATCACTTGAGCCACACCCCCAGTCTTTTTGCTTTTACTTTGTTTTTCAGATAGGGTCTTATGTTAACTTTCGCCCAAGCTGGCCTCCAACCATAATTCTACCTCTGCCTCCTAATTACCTGGGATTAAAGGTACGTACCACCATGCCCAGCCAGTTAGTCTCAATTTTATTAAAGTATATCTAAGTCACAATCAAATTGCTTTTTAGATCTTTAGCTTCTTCTCTGTATAAAATAGATCTTTAACTAATATCTAAGGCAATTTCTGGTTCCACAAGTACAAAGTCTTTAACAGAAAATTCTTCTGGGGTCTTGAGGTAAGCCAGTTCCCCATAGGGCAGAGGTTACTTTAACTGGGAAAGTATTACAGAGTCACTGAACAAAGAGGCAGTGAATTCAGATGAAACAATACAGTTTTTGATGTGTTAACCGACTGGCAGAGAATTATATTATCAGGAAGTAAAAACTCATCCTAAGTTTTCATAGAAGTCAGTGGTTAGTTGCTCTTAGCTTATAAAGTACATGATGATATATAACTCCTAAGAGTCAACAGACAAAAAGTGTTTCTTGAGCCAGGCAAGGTGATATAAGTCTGTAATCCCAGCACTCAGGAAGACTCAAGAAAGAATAAACCCTTTTGAGCAAGCAGACCAGTAAACAAGGAATAGGTATAACTAAATGACTAAAAACAACAGGCATTTCTCAATATTAACACTGAATGTAAATGGCTTCAATGCCCCAATCAAATGACATAGAATAGCAAACTGGGTTAAAAAACAAGACCCAAACATATGTTCCTTACAAGACACTCATTGCATTGAAAAAAATAAACACTGGCTTAGAGTCAAAGGGTGGAAAAAAGTGTTCCAAGCAAATGGACCCCATAAACAGGCAGGAGAAGCTATACTCATGTCTGACAAAGTAGACTTCAGACTAAAATCAATGAGAAGAGACAATGAAGGTCACTTCATATTAATTAAATGACCAGCTCTTCAAGAGGAAATATCAATCCTTAACATATATGCACCAAACACAGGGGCACCTACCTACATTAAAAAAAACCCTAATAGCCCTAAATGCACAGTGATAGTGGGAGACCTGAATACCCCACTGTCACCAATAGATAGGTCATACAGACAAAAGATCAACAAAGAAACCTCAGAGCTACTCCACACATTAGACCAAAAAGACATGGTTCATATCTACAGAGTATTTCACCCAACAACCAGGTAATACACATTCTTTTCTACAGCTCATAGAACTTTCTCCAAAATAGATCATACTTTAGGACAAAGCAAGTCTCAACAAATTCAAGAAAACTGAAATAACCCTCTGCATTATATCAAATCACAATGGAATAAATCTAGACCTCAACAACAAAAAAAAAAACCCCAGTAGCTTTTCTATATACCAACAATGCAGATTGAGAAGGAAATCAGGGAAGCAATCCCATTTACAATACCCTCAAAAACAATAAAGTACCTTGTAATAAATCTAACAAAAGAAACCAAGGACCTTTTAAACGAAAACTATAAACCCTGAAGAGAGAAATTGAAGAAGACATCAGAAGATGGAAAGATCTTCCATGCTGATGGATTGGTAGAATCAGTATCGTGAAAATGGCCATACTATCAAAAGCAATCTACATGTTCAACAGAATCCCTATCAA